AGAGTCAAGTTTTAAATAGGAAAAATATCGAAACACTTAGGTAATTTTTTTGGGAGAAATGCTAATGGTCTTGTCCACTTCAATGATGTATGCTAAGCTATGCTAAAAGTGGTACCGCCAGAACCGGAGATCGGCTGAATGGCTTCAAAAACGGTAAAACTCAACAGTTTAACTCTGGGGGAGTTGTAAAATGAGCCTATTTCCCAAAAAAAGTGGAGTATCCCTTTAATAAGACACTGCAGCAGGTTTATTATGCTACTGTCACTTTAAGAAGTGATGCGCATGACGCGAAATTTGAGCTCTCTTTTGCGTCTTATCGCGCTTGAAAGGTTTAAAGTCCCCATGAATTCAAAATTGACCATACTCACTTTGTTTGCCTAAATTGATCGTTTTGTGGTGAACAATTCATCTATGCAAGTCAATCCACACAAAAAAAATGTTTGGCTTCGTAATCTTTAATCAAAGTCTGAAATTTCCCCTCCCCTCTGCATTGGAGGACCTTCCCTGATGACGTGGGTTTGACGGTTTGGGCGTCTGCTTAACATCCGTAACCACGCCCCTCCAACTGACAGTACACAGGCTGAATGACAACACCTACTTTTCTAGATCCAATCAGGTGCTAGTTGGGGAAAAAAAGCCACGCCCACTATTTTGCCTCATTAGTATTCCGTTTCTCTCGGAAATACGTCACAACACTGGAGAAAAGTAGTTTGCAACTTCTGGTTCACGGGCACTTTAAAAGCATTTGAATGAAGGACAGCTTGATCATATGAAAAAACATCACAAGATGTCAGAAAAAAAACTGATTCTGCGTTAATTGCGTTAAATAGTGTATAATATTCCTGGATTTGGCTTTAAGCAATACATTCTTCACTCACTCTTGGAAACAAGCTGGTACTTGATAATGAAGTGCTATAAGACCTCCTGGCAAAATCCAGTTAACACATGACAAAATATGTATATTTCACCAGAAAATTAGCACATTATAAATGAGGCATTTCATAAACTCCACAGAGACTATATCAATAATTCACAAACGCTGATGAGGTATTGAATAGCGTTGTTCTGAATTATACATACTGCACAAACAATACAGACTGATATACTGAGGCTAATATATCATGAATCAGGTTTTTCATTATTGATAAGCTCCTGAAATGTCAGACGGTCTATAAAATACAATCTGTTGATGCATTAATGTTTACCTTAAACTTGTCCACCTCAGTCTTAGAGCATGTGGCATGATATGACAGCACCTATGGAAAACACACACACACACACACAAATTAATCAAGGTTAATATTTTATGCATTTCTATATTTTATGTTTATAATATATACATGACAAGATACAAACATCCCAGAGATCATAGAGAGTTGAATTGCATTAACCCTGGCAATACAACATGTCACTGCTGCATCGCTCGCTCTGATTGGCTGCTGAGAGTCATGTGAGCGCAATGATATGAACATCCATTCATAACATACTGACAGTCTGATTCTCAATTCTCAAAAGGTTACAGGTTATGCAATATTAATTTCAGCTCCGCTATAGTCTGTTGATGATCTGTTACAAATTAATTTACTGACAATCTGTAATCCTTATGAATACGGTCATATTTATCACAGAAGCCAGTCCTGCATTCCTCTGGAGAGTGAGAAGAGCTTGGAGAAGTTAATTAATGCTCACACACACACACACACTCGCTGCTCAGCCGCTGTAATGTAGTTACACAGCTAATAAACACAGCGTCCCCACTTCCGCTGCTTCATTTTCACACTCATTGCTCCGTGGTTGTGGTGTCGTGAGGAAAGATGTCACTATGTCTTCCCGTTTGCCTTTAAAGGGTGTGTGTGTGTTAATGCGTGATGCGTGAAATGAAATCATCACTTTTTGATCAGCAATGTGTGTTTATGGTGGGGTTCATCACTCGGAGACCACCATGATTCTGCTTTGCACTGTTAAATTTCATACAAAACGTTTATTACAGATTATATTATATTATCATCAGCGTGATGATTAGTGAAAAGTTGAATTGAAAAATGAACATTAATGTCAGAATTTCTTAATTTTTGGTTTGTCATCACGAAATGGAAGTTTTTTTTTTCTTCTACAGTGACATATACTGTGTCTGAGTGGCTTCTCGAACAGGGAAAATGACTTGATTTTGTTGATTTGAGTTTTATTCGTATTAAATAACATTAACAAATATAAATGAATACTTTAACCCTCTGGGGTCCTTCATTTCAGGGTCACACTCAGGGTCTTCGGGACCAAATGGTCCGGAAGGGTTTGATTCATATTTATTAAAAGAAAATCATATTATTTTTTTTTACTTGTTTTTTATAATTTTTTTTCTTTTATTTTTTGGTGTTTTGAGAAAATTTTATGATTTATAATTAATATTTATGCAATAATTATGACCCATTTTTTCCCATTCAATATAATATAATTTTTTTATAAATATGTATTTTTTTTTTTTTTTTTTTTAAAGCTGTATTTCATTTTAGAGTCAAGCCTAGGCCTCATGAAAACAATTTTTGAAATGAGATGGATGCCATCTGCTGGACACACTGAGCATTTTTATCACGCAATAGCACATTTTTACCACTAGTGGATTTACAGCTCTCTGTAGAAAGGGTTCAGAATTCTTGTGAGTTTTGCACATCTTTGACAATTTTTTTCAGGTTGTTGATTTTAAAATATAATAACAGATTCTCAAAGACTATTTTTGTCTTGTTTTTTGTTTGTTTGTTTGTTTGGTTTAAATGGTAATTTGAAGTGCCAGTTTTACTTTATAATACAGATTATTATAAATATATAATACAGTGTGTGTGTGTGTGTGTGTGTGTGTGTGTGTGTGTGTGTGTATGTGTGTGTGTCTGTTTTGCACTCTTGATGTTTTAGAGATTCACCCCTTCACTGTTGAGTCCTTTTTTCTGCATCCTGGCTGATTTGTAGATTGTATGCAAAAAAAAAAAATCTGACAATTTCCCATTCATTTCCTATGGGGGTCATTTTTGACCAAAGAGCAGAAGTGTGACGACCACTTAGCATGCTTGGATCATGACCTCAATATTTTTTGTTTGTTCACATACCTAATACCATAAAAGTCACCTAGTTTCGTAACATTCCGATGAAGCTGTGATTTTTAAAAATTCAAAACATATTTATGTAATCTGAATTTATTGGTGTGTTTGTGTATAAAAGTGTGTGTGTGTGTGTGTGTGTGTGTGGATGTGTCTGTTTTGCACTCTTGATGTTTTATAGATTCACCCCTTCACTGTTGTGTGCTTTTTTTCTGGATCGTGGCTGATTTGTTGATTGTACGCACAAAACAACTCTGTATTGTCACATTTTTGTCAATTTCCCATTCATTTCCTATGGCGGGTCCATTTGGACCCGAAGACCCTGAGTGTGACCATTTTTTTTACAACCACTTAGACTATTCAAATCCTGTCCCCAATTTTTTTGGGTGTTCATATACCAAGTACCAACAAAGTCACCAAATTTCGGACCATTCCGATGAAGCTATGATTTTACACATTTTTTTATTTAAATTCTTCGGGTCCATTTGGTCCAAAGAACCAATATATTGTTCATTGTTAGATATTGTTAGTTAATGCATTAACCAACTATTAGGACCTTATTAACTTAAAACACACATATTAAAACACACACACAGACACACACACACACACACACACACACACATGCACACACACATACACACAAATGCACACACAAATGCACACATACACACACACACACACACACACACACAGATACAGACACAAACACACACACACACACACACTCACATACAGACACACACACACACACACACACAGTGACTGTCACGACTTTCTGAGAATAATAATAATCAAAACCCTATAGACCAGATGAGAGTTGTTCGATTGAAGTCGGTCGATTGAAGCTTTAAAGGCGTCCCACTGTTTCATTGTTCCATTAAAGGGCTCATATTCTGCTCTTTTATAGCATGTTAAGTCAGCTTATATGTCAGTGCAGGTTTCTTGAAGCAACACAGTGATAATTTGGTTTGAATTGATCATTTTCTGCCCTCTCATTGAACAGGCTTGTTTTTGAGTGTGACATCACAATTATAAAAACAGATAAGTTTCAGTAAATGTTCTGAATAAACTGGAAACTAACATAGTTTGTTAGACTCTTATTTCAAAACAGCAAGGAAAATCCAGTTTTCCATGATATGATCACTTGGAGACGACTGCAGTGTGAGGCGGTTGAGTGTCAAACCTACTCTGAGTCACAAGTGAATACAGCTCATCCTTAAGCTCCGCCTCTAACAGGAACTAGGTCAATATTCCACTAATCACACGCTCACATCTTTGCATGTGTTAAATCATCCTCACCAGTCATATGTTTTTAATCCAACAACCCACCAATTACAAATGTTCCAACTAATCTGCCACCACTTTAGAAAAATCCTGCAAATCACAATTAAGTGTGTTTTGATGTGTGTGTGTTTTGGAGAGACATACATCCAAAGCGACAGACTGTTTGGCCCAGGACTTCTTCACTTGGTCATACATAATGGTGTTATTGATTCCCAGTCCACAGAATATCACAAATGCCTAAAGAGAGAAAAAGAGAACGTGAAGTCACACGCATGTACAACCAATTTAAACATCTGAAAGTGGTTTTTAAAACTTTGTTTCAGGAGTGTTTGTGTGAATCAGAGTTATTATAGTTACCATTTAAGTTATAATAACAAAACAATATGTAGCTAATACAAATGCTTTACTGATGCTGGGGATCAATTTATGAAGTTATATTACACATACACCTGTATATTGTATGGACAATATATATTATTGCAATATATAATACGCATTTTACTATTACATATAATATATACATATTATTCTAGCATTATTAAAGGTTTATTATTATTATTCCCAATACGTTCATGTGTTAGGCCTAACTGTACTCAAATATTATAAATAATACAATAATCATTGTCAATATTACATTGGAAATAATGTTCTATATATTATAAGATAAAACAATAAGTGAGCTGGGCTCCACACACACACACACACACAAATATCTGAGCCCACTTCAAAAAGCCAGGTTGGTGTGTAGTTTTTTTCCGATTCAATTTCTAATCCATAATATATTTTATATTCTTAGAAGGATGTGAGTTTATTTTGAGCATACATAGTAAAGCCATGATTCTCTCAAAACGCTCTGAGACCCTTACAATGAAGTGAAATATATATGTATATCGGAATAGCTTTAGCATGTTAATGCTAAATATGACAGTGTTAATGTATTTGGTCTTGGCGGGTTAGATCTGCTACTCACGCTGCTGCAGAGCACGTATGGACTTGCTATTACCAACAGATACACAGACATGCTGCTATTGAGCATGTTAGATATGTTGCAGCTGCATGCATAAGCGTACATAAATCCTGTAGCAGATCTAGACAGGTGGAGCTGGGGAGGTGGAGGGGTACATGTGCTGTAGGACCAGCTTACAGCGGACACCGAACATCTTTCACTTCACTGCAAGCGTCTCAGAGCGATTTGAGAGAATTATGACTTTTGTGTATCCTCCAAATGAACTCATGTTTGAAGGACAGCTAGCTACGCATTCATAAGGATATCTCACAGATGATTCATACCATACCTCAAACAGCCTCTGATCTAAATCATCAAACGGTTTCCCATCCAACCTGTTCAAGACCTGAGCCACACCTGCAACATACACACATGAAGACAGTCAGATTGCATGCTGTTTTTTACGACCCATATGAGGTTCTTTAATGCATTGCAGATGAAGGTTTCAATCTGTATTTTAGTGCAGGAGTCAGGAATCTCTTCCTTGCCGCACTTCTAATCTCTCTCTCTCTGTCTCTACATGGATAATTAAACAGTGTGCTGTGTTTTAGTATGTAATTAGAATGATTGTTCCTTTAAGTGCAAACCCTCCCCCTGTTCACACACCTATCGCCTCCCCCCATCCTCGCCGTCTCATTATAGTCAATCATAAATGTAGAGCTTGCATTGCAGGCTCTACCATAACCCTGCTCATAATTACAACATTTATATCACACAGAGAAGCCTGTTCGCCTGAAAGCCCACTGAAATGTGCCTGGCAATAAAAACATTTTAAGTAATCTAAAACCACAAGGGGTGTCCAGTCATCCTCACAAGTTATACGGTGTATTTAATTAATCTCTAAGCTGATTTTGGATGTTTCGGAATACCGCTCGCTCAGTGCATCTGCATAGCATATACTGAGTAATATTTTTAAGCATTAGGCAATGATAAATGTTCCAAACAGTAAATGTGTTGTAATATGACCTCTTTACATGCATGTGATACAGTGAGAGGTGACTAGTTATCATCTCATATCATAAAAATGCTTATTTTGCATGAAGGAAATTAAGAAATGTTGTTAGCAATGTAAAACCATAAAGAAAAAAACATTTTACTCTATGTATTCTACAGGACGTGATGCAGGACGCGTCAGGGATGATGACATCGCGGCGGGGTAACCCAACGTCACCGCCAACCCGACCCGTCATGCCTCCTCGAACGGGAGTCCCCACGACCTCTAATGTATCCTTTCCCACCTCTCTCACGTCTGCGAGAGGACATTCCCAGCACTGCTGGTGCGGAGGGGAGCCTGGACATTATCAGGATCAGTGTACCTCCATGGAGGTGGATATGCTGATCTGGGTCCCCGAGTGCCCGCAAAGGGCCCCCGATCGAGCTGGAAGGTATCAGATACCAGTAAGTATCAGGGGAAATACCTATCAGGCTTTGGTGGATTCGGGTTGTAACCCAACCTCTATCCATGAACGTCTGATGCAACCAGGGGCATGGGATATGAGCCACGTGGTGTGGGTGCGGTGTGTGCAACAGGGAAGTTCGGAAAAATCCTGTTGGCATCGTCACAATACAGTTAGGGGTTCAAAAGCATAGAATAGAGGTGTCAATTAATCCCCACCTCAGCCAACCTATATTTTTGGGGACAATTTGGCCTTTATTTTCGGATTATCTGAGGGGTATTTGCAAGGGTGGCACCTGCAAATCGAGAGCTGGGACGAGCGAATGGCTGGGGCCATGAGACCACGAGTGCAGCTGGGATGGGTGAGGTGAGGACTGCAATGGAGAAAAGGATAGTGTTCTTTTTCCTCTAGGACTTCCCTCTGGAGCAGCCCTGGGATAAACTCTATGAAATGCCTTTGAGAATATGTGGTCCATTGATGGGAACCTCGTCAAACCATAGCATTCTCTAATACCCCTATTTTGTGGTAATTAGTGACCGGTTATATCGCGTAATGCAGGACACGCAGATGTCCCTAAATAAGGTCCCCTTCTAAAGAATTGGCATTGACCTCGTCATGCCATTAGATCGGTCATCACGAAGGCATCGCTTTGCATTAGTCATCGTAGACTATGCAACTCGATACCCGGAGGCGGTGGCATCTCAGCAAAGAGTGTAGCGGATGCCCTCTTCCGAGTTATCTCCCGGGTGGGAATACCGAAAGAGATTCTCACCAACCAAGGCATGTCACGAAACACTCCATGAGCTTTACGAACTACAGTATAGGGACCCTTTATGGTAACATGGCAAGACGGAGATGTTGACTATGAGGTTGTGCGACCGAACAAAAGAGGGGATAAACAGATCTACCATCTCAACCTCCTAAAACCATGGAGGGAAGAGAACTCTGTTCAGTTGGCCACGATCACGAAAGAATGTGAGGAGCTTGGGCCGGAGGTGAATTTAAAACCCAACGCATTCAATCCCTTGTGGAGAGCACCTCCCGCCGTGCCAACTGGACGAGATTAAGTACAGCGTGAGTTCGCAGATGTGTTGTCACCTCTTATCGGCCGCACAAATCTTATAGAACACCACACTGAAACATATTCAGGAGTCGTGGTGCGTTCCCGACCCTATAGTTTTCCGGAATACAAAAAGAAAATTGTGAGGGATTAATTAGAGGTGATGCTCGAAATGGGTGTAATACAGAGTCACACAGTGAATGGTCCAGCCTAATAGTTTTAGTGCCTTAGACGGACGACTCGACCAGATTCTGTGTTGACTACCGCAAAGTAAATGCGGTCTCCAAGTTTGATGCTTATCCCATGCCTCTAGTTGATGAATTGCTCGACCGGTTAGGCACTGCTCGATTTGACTCAACACTGAATTTGAAGAAAGGGTATTGGCAAATCGCCTTAACAGCAATATCTTGAGAGAAAACGTCCTTTTCCACCCCGTTTAGTTAACAGCAATTTGTTACGCTTCTGTTCGGGTTGTTCGGGGCTCCCACCTCATGGACTGGGTCTTATGGCTGCACCAAGCGTATGCTGCCGCATACCTGTCACGGTTTCAATGTGTTTAGTTCTGTTTTGAGATCTTGTTTCCCCCGTCTTTTGTGATTTTTGGTTCAGTCCTGTTAGTTTTCCCGCTATGTCTGATTAGTAATTCCCTTCACCTGTGTTCTGTTAGTCATCCCATTAGTCCCTGTTCATTTAAGCCCTGTGCTTTCCCTCAGTGTTTGTTGGTCGTCGTCCGTGTATGGTTGTGTGTTTTGAAGTCCTGGAGTTCCTTTCCCTTTGTTCTTGTATGTTTATGGAAGTAAAGTTTGTAAATAAATACCTATATCGTAGATTCCGTGTCCTCGTCTTCAGCAGCCTACAGCAACCTGACAGAACGACCAACCATTACTAAAGAAGTAAGGAAACCGAAGATGACCGAGCGGGAGAGAGGACATCCATTTGCGGGGACCCGTTTGGCCATATTTCGTGGGACACGTGGAGGCCGCAGTGGAGGAGGTGGTCGAGTGGAAGCCCGACACCACTCTATATTCTGGCCTCTTTTCGACCCTGGGTTGGTGATGACCGAGCCTGAGCTTCCCTGCACGCCTGCCGAGCCTGAGCTTCCCTGCACAGTTAAGGTTAATTCCGAGTTTGATGACTTCACCGATATTCCTCCTCTCATCGGTCCCGAAGTGCCAGAGTTTCCTTCACCGCTGGTTCCGTCCAGCCCAGCCAAGCCCGCACCGCTGGTTCCGTCCAGCCCAGCCAAGCCCTCACCGCTGGTTCCGTCCAGCCCAGCCAAGCCTGCACCGCTGGTTCCGTCCAGCCAATCCGAGCCCGTCGCCTGCCCGCCAGAGCCTGAGCCCGTCGCCTGCCCGCCAGAGCCTGAGCCCGTCGCCTGCCCGCCAGAGCCTGAGCCCGTCGCCTGCCCGCCAGAGCCTGAGCCCGTCGCCTGCCCGCCAGAGCCTGAACCCGTCGCCTGCCCGCCAGAGCCTGAGCCCGTCGCCTGCCCGCCAGAGCCTGAGCCCGTCGCCTGCCCGCCAGAACCTGAGCCCGTCGCCTGCCCGCCAGAGCCAGAGCCCGCTGATCCTGCGCCAGAGCCCGCTGATCCTGCGCCAGAGCCCGCTGATCCTGCGCCAGAGCCCGCTGATCCTGCGCCAGAGCCCGCTGATCCTGCGCCAGAGCCCGCTGATCCTGCGCCAGAGCCCGCTGATCCTGCGCCAGAGCCCGCTGATCCTGCGCCAGAGCCCACTGATCCTGCGCCAGTCCTGTCCAGCCCAGAGTTTCCTTTGCCGCTGGTCCTGCTTAGTTCAAAGTCCTTTTCACTGCTGGTCCTGCCCAGCCCAAGACCCTCGTTGCTGCCGGATCCCCCCTGTCCTGTCAATTTTCCCATTAAAATTTTGGGGGGGCGCCCACCCGAAGGCTCTTCGCCGCCCTGGCCGCCTGAAGGGTCTTTACCACCGTGGCCGCCTGAGGGGTCTTCGCCGCCGTGGCCGCCTGAAGGGTCTTCACCACCCTGGCCGCCTAAAGGGTCTTCACCACCGTGGCCGTCCGAAGGGTCGTCACCGCCCTGGACGTCCGAGGGTCCGACAGCTCCGCCCTGGACGCCCGAGGGTCCGACAGCTCCGCCCTGGACGCCCGAGGGTCCGACAGCTCCGCCCTGGACGCCCGAGGGTCCGACAGCTCCGCCCTGGACGCCCGAGGGTCCGACAGCTCCACCCTGGACGCCCAAGGGTTCGTCTGCTCAGCACTGGCCACGCCCACGTCCAGCTCCGCCGTGGCCACGTCCACATCCAGCTCCGCCCTGGACGCCCGAGGGTCCGACAGTTCCGCCCGGGACGCCCGAGGGTCCGACAGCTCCGCCCTGGACGCCCGAGGGTCCGACAGCTCCGCCCTGGACGCCCGAGGGTCCGACAGCTCCGCCGTGGCCACGCCCACAGCCTGCACCGCCCTGGCCACGACCACAGCCCGCTCCGCCATGGCCACGTCCACAGCCGGTTCCACCCCGGTTCCCAAAGCTACCAGCTCCGCCCTGGAGGCTTCCCGTCCCTGCATCACCATGCCCTCGTCAGCCTCCAGGGCGCCCACCCTCCCACCCCTTTGGATGTTGTACGGCGCGAGGTCGCGCCTTCGGAGAGGGGGGGGTACTGTCACGGTTTCAATGTGTTTAGTTCTGTTTTGAGATCTTGTTTCCCCCGTCTTTTGTGATTTTTGGTTCAGTCCTGTTAGTTTTCCCGCTATGTCTGATTAGTAATTCCCTTCACCTGTGTTCTGTTAATCATCCCATTAGTCCCTGTTCATTTAAGCCCTGTGTTTTCCCTCAGTGTTTGTTGGTCGTCGTCCGTGTATGGTTGTGTGTTTTGAAGTCCTGGAGTTCCTTTCCCTTTGTTCTTGTATGTTTATGGAAGTAAAGTTTGTAAATAAATACCTATATCGTAGATTCCGTGTCCTCGTCTTCAGCAGCCTACAGCAACCTGACAATACCTTGATTAAATCATAATATACAGTAATGATTGGCAGCGGCATGTGCAACGCCTAAGAGCGGTCCTGACTTCTGAGGTCGCAGCAGGGCTCACAGTAAACCTGAAGAAGTGTGCAATTGGACAGGTGGAAGTATGGTATCTGTGTTCCACTTGGGTCACGGGCAGGCGTGGCCCCAAATTGACCAAACCACACCAAAATGGGAGTGATAACGTTTTTGGGGCTGACTGGCTATTTCAGGCAGTTTATACCTAACTATTCGGACGTCATCAACCCCCTGACTGATCTTACTAAAAAGAGAGCTTCAGACCCGACGGACGAAGCAGTGTCAACAGGCTTTCACCCAAGGGAAGGCTGCACTATGTGGTGGACCAGTATTGCATTCCCCTCTCCCTTTTGTCTTGCTGGCAGATGCATCGGACAGGGGGCTGGGAATGGCTGGCCATCAAGTAGGCGGTCCTCACTTTCCATTACTACCTGTTGGGATGGGCTTTCACTTTCTAGTTCGGACTATGCCCTGCTCCAATGGCTCCACCGCATGAAGGGTGCCAGCGCACGGATCACCCGTTGGTATCTGGCTTTGCAACCATTTGAATGCCAGGTGGTCCACAGGCCAGGGCTGCAGATAGCTGTCGCAGACTTCCCGGCATGATACTAGCATATATAGCATATACTGCTGTGGAAGAGGGGACATGGTTTGACAGCTGCTGCAGGTGGAGAGCAAGTGCGGGGGAATTGAATGGAAAGGAAAACGCCTCTGGTTAATGAGAACTAAGTGTTTGGACTTTGCAGTGAATCGAGAGACGGGTGAAAAGGAGCAGCGTGAGTGCAGAGAAGCGGCTGCCTTGGGAGTGAGCTGTGCACGTGGAAACCGTGTTAAAGAAGAGCTTTGTGTGCAGAAATCTGAGTTGCTGCTGAAATGCCCTCATACTATATTTTTGTTTGCTTAAGTGAAGTGTATGAATACATTACGTGAGCTGCTGCACAGCCATTCTCTTCCCCCTGTCTCCTTCATACCCACCACAACAAGTTAAGGCTTTGCCACAACTGCATACTATAAAAATAGTAGTATCCTGAATGCCATTCTGAACATATCTAAGAATTTCAAAAAGACTACAGTATACAGTATATAGATATAAGATATTTCCTTTTTGGACAGTGAAGTTTCACAGACCAGAGATTTAGATGATTTCTCTCCTCATAGTGCTGAAATTTCTCACACTAGCTTCAAGCTCAATTTGGGAAAAAGGAAAAAGATGAAGAAAGCAAGAGGAGAATATTTTGAATGAAGACATCCTTGACTCCTGCTTCTACTGGCTGTTTGTGCTCATAATGACTTTTGGTCCCTGGCAGAAACTTCCCACACACACACACACATCCACCCACGCACACACACACACACTGCGCTCTGCAACAGCACACACGCGCTGATCTGACACACAGATACATTTAAACAGACATTATCATACATACACATGTTTGTCCTCCACTTGCTCACACATAATTCAGTACAACACCGCAGAGCAGGGGACATCAACACATATATACTATATGTAGTGAAACAACAGTGGTTCATTGGATAACTTACCTATGATTTGGTGGTTACTGTTCCAGATAGGGACACACAGGACAGATCTAATATGGAAGCCAGAGAACTGATCCGCCTGAAAACAAACACTTGTCATCACATCAAAAAACACATGATCTGACAAGAAGCTTGTGAGGAGAAGCGAGCAAAAATATGAGATCGTCTGAAGACACAGTGTTATATAAATTTGTGCTGCTGGCATTTAGAAGACACACAAGAGCCGACAGAGGTCCAAGGTCTTATGCAGAGCAGAAGTCTCTCTCAACTTTAATCAGGCTCTTTAAAAGGAATATTCTGGGTTAAATACAACTGTAGCTCTTCCTGTAGCATCTGTAATCTATGGAAACTTGTTACCGCCACAGACTAAAACATTTTTAAAGATAATTGCTAGTGATGTAGTACTCGAGTCCGGTCTCGAGACCGATTTCTGCTTTCTCGGACTCGTCTCGGACTCGACCCTTCAAAGACTCGGTCTTGACTCGGACTCGACCCTTCAAAGACTCGGACTCGTCTCGGACTCGACCCTTCAAAGACTCGGTCTTGACTCGGTCTCGACCCTTCAAAGACTCGGTCTTGACTCGGTCTCGACCCTTCAAAGACTCGGTCTTGACTCGGACTCGACCCTTCAAAGACTCGGACTCGTCTCGGACTCGACCCTTCAAAGACTCGGTCTCGACCCTTCAAAGACTCGGTCTTGACTCGGACTCGACCCTTCAAAGACTCGGTCTTGACTCGGACTCGACCCTTCAAAGACTCGGTCTTGACTCGGACTCGACCCTTCAAAGACTCGGACTCGTCTCGGACTCGACCCTTCAAAGACTCGGACTCGTCTCGGACTCGACCCTTCAAAGACTCGGTCTTGACTCGGTCTCAACCCTTCAAAGACTCGGTCTTGACTCGGACTCGACCCTTCAAAGACTCGGTCTTGACTCGGACTCGACCCTTCAAAGACTCGGTCTTGACTCGGACTCGACCCTTCAAAGACTCGGTCTTGACTCGGACTCGACCCTTCAAAGACTCGGACTCGTCTCGGACTCGACCCTTCAAAGACTCGGACTCGTCTCGGACTCGACCCTTCAAAGACTCGGTCTTGACTCGGTCTCAACCCTTCAAAGACTCGGTCTTGACTCGGACTCGACCCTTCAAAGACTCGGTCTTGACTCGGACTCGACCCTTCAAAGACTCGGTCTTGACTCGGACTCGACCCTTCAAAGACTCGGTCTTGACTCGGACTCGACCCTTCAAAGACTCGGTCTTGACTCGGACTCGACCCTTCAAAGACTCGGTCTTGACTCGGTCTCGGACAACAGTGGGAGGAGAAGGACTCGTAATTTCAGACCGAGTCCTCGAGATTTTTTTTTTCCAACGCATTTTTTTTATGTTCATATAAAAAAACAACACATAACAACAATAATAATAAAATGCAATGTTGACGGGCATTATTTGAAAATGACATCCCATGGTGCAATGCAAAGGCCTAACAGTTGATTAGGTGATATTAAATCATGAATTTCAAAACTGACATGTCGAGACAAAATCTCGACTCGGACTTGCTTCCTAAAAAACTCGGTCTTGACTCGGACTCGACTGTATTTGAAAAGCAAGGGACTCGGTCTCGACTCGGACTCGGCCCTTCAAAGACTCGGTCTTGACTCGGACTCGGCATAGGCGGTCTCGTCCCCATCACTAATAATTGCGACTTTTTATCTCACAATTGCGAGTTTACATCTCACAATTCTGACTTTATATGTCCCAATTTTGTGTTATAAAGTCAGAATTGCGAGATATAAACATGCAATTCTGAAAAAAAATAATAGAATTGTGAGTTTATTTCTCACAATTCTGACTAACACACAATTACGACTTTCTATCACCCAATTCTGACTTTATAACACAAAATTGCGACTTTATATCATGCAATTCTGACTTTATAACTCACAATTGCGACTTTATATCACGCAATTCTGATGAATCAATCAATGAATCAATCAATTATCATCATCAAATATGAATTAAAAAATTTAAATATGTAAAATTCAAATGCTCAAATAAATAGATATTAAATTCTCGTTTAAAATATAAATCGAATGTGTCAATAAAACATTGTCCATCTAAAAACTGTTTTGTATTTATAATTGATTTTAAGTGGCAATCATAGACCTCAATAGTTAAATACTGTTTACATGGAGCAACTGCATCATTAGCACATACACACAAAAAGTTCATTAGCCCAGAATTTACAGATCACTTAATACCATTTTTACTGAATAATTCATGTAAGTGCTTTAAAAAACAAACTGCATGTCTGCTTTTAAATCCTCCGGTACACTTGACCCATTAACTTCCACTGTAAAAACTGAGGGACATGTAAAAGTAATAATGGTAATAAAGTTTAAGACTTTTTTAAAACCCAGAATACTCCTTTAATGGGAGTCCAAACATCAGCCATGTAACAGGCTTTATTAATTGATATATTGCTTACTTCAGCGTCGAAGCGTGGGTCTTGGTAGGCATCACTGATATTCACAGGAAGCCCAGTGGAGGCGACCAGCTCTGCAATGCTGTTATTAATCAGCCAATCAGAATAGGACGATTTGTCCATGCTGTCCTTGAAGCTGTGGACAAGACAAAGAGGAAATGATGCGAGCTGCTGTGTGTAACCAGACAATCACTTTAATTGCTCATACTTGGGCTTGCGTTTAAACCCTACACCCTCATAATTAGATTTTTGTGTACAACTCATCCTGCACCGTTTGAGCTTTTGTCATGGAAAAATGTCTCTAATTAACTAAAGCGTAAGAAAAAAAATATAAAAACGTGATTTGAAAAAGTGATTTGAAATGTACGTAAATTCAGGGTAATTCGGACATCAATGGCATCTCAATGGCAATTTAGCTGAATTCATCCCCAAGTAACACTTTTATGTTGGTGTTATTACAAAGTGGACTTAGTGTGTTAAGGAATATAGTCATGAAATGTACTCTTTGAAAATGCCCATGTGGAAAATGCATACATAGCCTACGTCACTCGATCGTGCGTGTTATTGCGGAGATGGCAAGAACTGAGGAATTTCAAATGGTGTAAAAGCGACGCGGAGATGATGGTGTTTTTATTACTCAACAGGTGATTAAGGTATTTTACTGAACAGATAAATTGCCATATGTAGCTCTTAAGTCTAGTAGTGAATGTTTTTTGGTCAATAGCCATATTCATCCGCACAATCACGCAGAGCCGAAGCACAACCAAAACAACGTTCTTCCGCAAAATGCATGCAGTTTTGTTTCGAGTACAGCTGTTCAAAAAATATACTTTAACTCCAAATGCAAAAATCTGCAATCTCATCTGGCCCTCATCGTTGCCATGTAAACAGCTGTCACTACACAGTTAAAAAGCGTTGGGCTATTTTTTTAACCCGACCTTTGGGTTACACATACAGTATTGGGTCACTATGTTGGGTTATTTAAAAAAAATGTTGGGTCATTTTTAATATCGTTGGGTATTTTCTAGTAATAACCCGGGTGTTAAATACGTATGTTGTATGTAAACTTGTGTATTTTGAATTTATGTACACAATTATGTATATTTACATTACATTTTGGACTACCCAATATTTTGTTTGCAATTAAAAAAAAAAAATTGACATATTTATTGTTTTATACAAATAAACAACCTGTATTTGAAAAGTGTATTTTATTTTATTATGTCATAAATAGTGCTGAGAACAGGCGCGCTCAACTCCTAAACCGTTTATGGGTGCGAGTTATAAAGAAGTTATCAAATAAAGATGAAAAACCACACACTGATGATGGCTTAGGCTGAAACACGTCTGTGTGGACATGGTATTAATAATATATGAGATATAACTAGAGAGTGCAGTTTTTCATATTTATTATGTCATAAATAAAAAGTTAACTTAACTGTTGGGTTACTTTTAAACCAAGTGGCTTTTAACCCAATGCATTGGGTTAAAATAACCCACAGTTGAAAAGGTGCTATACCACCCCATAGTTGGGTTACTCGTTGGGTTAATTTTAACCCAACATTATTAAAGGAGAACTCCGGGCAATTTTTAAGTTAATCTCGATCGTTACACCTTTGTGAGTACTGTCTATAGAAAAAGAAAACGAACCGGATCGGTGGTTGCAACACGGAGCTGTTCCCGCAAATGCCCAGAGCTCCCACTCAGCTAAAACGGCAGTAATGGGGGCATAAACAAAAAGAGTGTCTTTGTACCTCTTAACAGACACAAAATGCAATTAAAATGTCTGTCCAACATTAACATGGGCCTTACATGTGAACAAGATGCGTTTAGCAACTTAGCCATTGTTTAAATTCACCTAAATAGCGTTTTAGACGGCAAGCTGTAGTCTCGCGCTGAAGTCCCGTGGGAATTCAGTTGTAGCCGGAAGAGGTAAACAGTGTCCAGGTGGGAGGAGCGTAGTGTGTGAAGAGTGATGATCGGAGTTGCTTACAAGTGAAGAAGAAACGGTTAGTGTTTGTGCCTTTCCGAATTGTGGCAAATGAAAAACTTAAATTTTCATCGTCTTCCTTTCCATGACCTCGAGATTCTGCAGTTGTGGCTAGTTGTACTTCAACTTGATGTGCAAACTCCCATACAAGTACTACGCACTAAAGATTACCGCATTTACAGCGAACACTTTGACAAGGATGACTACACAGACACAACACAGCGGGGGCGGTTGAAGAAAAAAGCCATTCCGTGGACGAAGACGGGTGCAACCACTGTGGAGGTAATGTAAACTTTATATATCCTTCTATTTGGGCACACGCGGCTTGAGGAGAGATTGTGCAGTAATGTTTTTGTAGACTTATTTGCAAAACTTTAATTATTTCACTAGCTTCTATGACTTGAATTATATTCTCCATAGTTACGTTACTACAAGCTTCTTCACTTGTAAGCAACTCCGATCATGCTCTTCACGCTCCTCCCACCTGGACACTGTTTACCTTTTCCGGCTACAACTGAGTTCCCACGGGACTTCAGCGCGAGACTACAGCTTGCCGTCTAAAACACTATTTAGGTGAATTTAACCCTTTAGCTGTCACCCCCCTTTTTGAGCGTTGAAGTGAAAATGCACTACCCAAACTTAAACGGTTGTAATTCATGAAGCCTTTGTACTTACGGTTGGTCTCTTTTAAAAGAAGACTCTTTGCAAATTATTGCTGCAGTGGAATAAATTAATAGAATTAAATTATTTAAAAGTTATTGAAGTTTAAGTTTATTGTTATGAAAATATAATAAAATATATATTTTTCTTTTATTAAAAATATATATAAATTAATATAGGTTTCAGCCTAAAAATGACAGAAAGTCAAAGCCATATATCTAACCAAGTTGTGTTCCAAATTTGAAGTTGATATCACAAACATTGAAGTTCCCATGAGATTTTGTTTAGGCGTAATACCAAAAATACCCACCGGGTGCCATTTAATTTAATTTAATTGTATGCATTCTGCTATAACAAATTAATACATTTCTATCCAAATATCACTTCTGTGTCTAAATATGGAATCTTGAGACTCAGACCTTTCTGACAATATGTGTTTTGTCAAAATTAGAACATTTTTGATAATAAATTATAAAAGATGATGCCCAAAAGGGGAGGGGCCTAATAAAAAAATACCGTTTCTATGGTAACGCAACATCCAATTTCAAAACGGTTTTCACAGGACGAATTCTGAGTTCGTAAGCTTTCAAATGATACCTAATTTATGATAACTACTAAAATATGTGAAATAATAATAATATAAAATTATATATATATATAATATATTATACTTTTTAGAGGACTTTTTACTTTACTTTTTTAAACAAAATTGTATCTTTTTTTATTGACAAATACTAGATTATGTTTTATTATGAACTTAGCATTAAAAACCAAAGTTTCAATTATTAAAAGTGTGTGCGTCGACTTTTTGTGACAAAGGTCAGAAACTCCTGTAATGACGTCGATTTTTTTAGGCGCACTCATGTCATAAATTCATATTACTGTTCATCCATAGTTTGTAAGAAAAAAAACATCTATTAAGGAGTCTTAGACCTTTCCAACGATATATAGTTTGTCATGACTAGATTAGGATTTAATAGTAATATAGTGAAGTAAATTTAGGTTGCCCGTATACGGGCAGGTGACAGTTAAACAATGGCTAAGTTGCTAAACGCATCTTTTTCACATGTAAGGCTCCTGTTAATGTTGGACAGACATTTTAATTGCATTTTGTGTCTGTTAAGAGGTACAAAGACACTGTTTTTGTTTATGCCCCCATTACTGCCGTTTTAGCTGAGTGGGAGCTCTGGGCATTTGCGGGAACAGCTCCGTGTTGCAACCACCGATCCGGTTCGTACTCACAAAGGTGTAACGATCGAGATTAACTTAAAGGTGCCCTAGAATGTGAAATTGAATTTATTTTGGCATAGTTAAATAAGAAGAGTTCAGTACATTGACATGACATACAGTGAGTCTCAAACACTATTGTTTTCTCCTTCTTATTTAAATCTCGTTTTTGAAAAACACCCCTGAAAAATAGGCGAATCTCCACATAACACCGACTGTGACGCAACAGTCGGGATCGTTAATATGTACGATTTCACGAATTTGCATATGCCAGCCCATGTTCAATGCCAGGCGGAACTGCGCAGCCGAAGCATAGCAGTTGCTCAGTGTTTGGATGTACACATGAACACAAAAGTATTCTTTAGTTCCTTCATCCGAGCCTATGAAGAAACAATGGGTTAATTTTTTTTCCCTGCAAATGCGCCGGCACAACTTCCCAAAGTTTTGTATGGTCCAAACATTTCACCGACGACTGTTTCCTCAACTTGGGCCAATACAGAGCTGGCCTCGGATCGAGCTACCAAGCAACACTTTCTGATGTGTAATTGTTCAAGTTCAGACAGGTAATCTTTCTCTCAAAATCGTTCAATACTGTTTATGCATCAGTAAGTCAAGCCAGTGACTAAAATATCAGCTTCACATCGTTTCTTTTAGTAGGATGAAAAAAACGTATTTAAAATGTGAATAAATTATACAGAAAGCGATCAAAGAACAATCTTTCCACAGCGCGAGTTTATCTGGACACTTGCCAAACTCGTTATGAAATCAATGACGCACGTTACTGCACAACGAAGCTCTTACTGTATTTACATCATCGTGTTTGCATTGGTGAAAGCAGAGTGAGTGCAGAAACTGCGTTGCAATGATAAGATCTTCATTCTCGCGATCAACACACTGTCATCTGCTCAATGCTCATCACGGCAACATTGTATGTGATGGGAATAGATCTAAATACTTTAAAAACTTCTCACGATTCGTTAATCTCGATAGCTGTGATAGTAAAAACGTGTAGTAAAAGTATTCGAGAGAGTTTCACAAGTAGCTATTTCATATGCAAGCATGTCAGCCAATCACAGCAGTGGCCGCGGTTACACTGAATCCCACAGCAGACACGCCCCTTCAAACAGAGTGTTCAAATCAGAGGCTAAAATCAGGCTAGGAAAAATGCTTTTTATTTCTAAATTATGACCATTTTTGCTCTAAAAAACATACTATCATTATAAGGGCAACCCAGGAAACATTATAAAATAATAAAATAA